TGGAGTGACCAGGAAGCCGTGGATCCGAGTTTTCTGTCGTGCAGGCTGTGCCCCTGGGAATGATGTGTGATTTGATGGTGAGTTTGGGCTGATCTAGTGCAAAAAGCGTGAGGATCCATGAGGATCCGTGCTTCGGAACCACGTTTTTGGGCCATGGAGTGGCCAGGAAGCTGTGGATCCGAGTTTTTTGTGGTGCAGGCTGTGCCCCTGGACATGATGTGTGATTTGACGGTGAGTTTGGGGTGGCCCAATGCAAAAAGTGTGAGGATCCATGAGGATCCGTGCTTCGGAACCACGTTTTTGGGCCATGGAGTGGCCAAGAAGCTGTGGATCCGAGTTTTTTGTGGTGCAGGCTGTGCCCCTGGACATGATGTGTGATTTGACGGTGAGTTTGGGGTGGCCCAATGCAAAAAGTGTGAGGATCCATGAGGATCCGTGCTTCGGAACCACGTTTTTGGGCCATGAGGTGGCCAGGAAGCCGTGGATCCGAGTTTTTTGTGGTGCAGGCTGTGCCCCTGGACATGTTGTGTGATTTGACGGTGAGTTTGGGCTGATCTAGTGCAAAAAGCGTGAGGATCCATGAGGATCCGTGCTTTGGAACCACGTTTTTGGGCCTTGGAGTGGCCAGGAAGCCGTGGATCCGAGTTTTCTGTGGTGCAGGCTCTGCCCCTGGACATGATGTGTGATTTGACGGTGAGTATGGGTTGGCCCAATGCAAAAAGCGTGAGGATCCATGAGGACCCGTGCTTCAAAACCACGTTTTTGGGCCACGGTTTCGCCAGGAAGTCGTGGATCTGTGATTTTTGTGGTGGATGCTGTGCCCATGGCCATGATGTTTGATCTGATGGTGACTTTGGGCTGATCTTGTGCAAAAATCATGAGGATTCATGAGGATCCGTGCTTCGGAACCACGTTTTTGGGCCAGGGTGTGGCCAGGCAGGTGTGGATCCGAGTTTTTTGTGGTGTAGGCTGTGCCCCTTACTATGATATGTGATTTGACGGTGAGTTTGGGTTGGCCCGATGCAGAAAGCGTGTGGATCCATGAGGATCCGTGCTTCAAAACCACGTTTTTGGGCCACGGTTTCGCCAGGAAGCCGTGGATCCGTGATTTTTGTGGTGGATGCTGTGCCCATGGCCATGATCTTTGATCTGATGGTGACTTTGGGCTGATCTAGTGGAAAAATCATGAGGATCCATGAGGATCCGTGTTTTTTAACCATGTTTTTGCGCCCCTGCGCCCCCCCGAAACAGTGGATGCGTGATTTTTTAGATGCTTTCTACAGAGTAAGACATGGTCTACAATATCATGGTGGTTTTATTTAATTTGAATGAAAAAATCATATGAATTCACGAGGATCCGTGTAGATCCGCCTTTTACCTTTTTCCGAAACACAATTTACAAAGAATGCTAATCTAGTCCTAGAAACTTGCTATAATAATAGGTGTAAATATATGATGCAAACTACTAATAATTATAAATAGCATTATTAATATGAAATTAAGTGTGATAACCTGTACAATGCAATTGTAGTTAATACAATGCATTTTTTATATCAGTATCAATAGTACCATAATAGTCCACATTCTTCATTGGGACAGCAGACCTTTGTACCCTGTTACACTTAGTGAGTGTAAAAGACAGTATTTCTAGTAATATGTCACATTTATAAATAATACCAATACTGTACACACCTTTACATTAAAATTATTTTACAGGACTAATTGTATTACTGCATCTACCCAATACCCATTCAACTGTATAATTTTATCATGATTCATTCTGTACTGTGTATACAAACAGTACACAAACATGATCTAAATTACAATACTTTCCTTCTTGCCTTTGCCAAAGCAAAGTCACTGAGGATATCATCAAATGATAAACTGCTTAGCTTGTCACTTTCTATGTACATGAGGCTGAAGTAACATAATTTATCTTGAGACATTGTTGTTCCAAATTCATTTTTTATCCTCTTCAGTCAAGAAACGGATCTTTACAAATGGCAATTTGCAATCATCATTCAGAGGAACATTCTCAGAATTGCTTCTACATTAGGGAATGCTGACTGGACATCGTTGTTGTTCTTTAGTCACTTAGTCGTGTCTGACTCTTTGTGACCCCATGGACCAGAGCACTCCAGGCACTCCTGTTTTCCACTGCCTTCTGCAGTCTGGTCAAACTCATGTTAGTAGCTTTGAGAGCACTGTCCAACCATCTCGTCCTCTGCATATAAGTTAAATAAGCAAGGAGACAATATACAGCCTTGTCGTACTCCTTTCCCAATTTTGAGCCAATCAGTTGTTCCATATCCAGTTCTAACTGTTGCTTCTTGTCCCACATAGAGATTTCTCAGGAGACAGATGAGGTGGTCAGGCACTCCCATTTCTTTAAGAACTTGCCATAGTTTGCTGTGGTCCACACAGTCAAAGGCTTTTGCGTAGTCAATGAAGCAGAAGTAGATGATTTTCTGGATTTCTCTAGCTTTCTCCCTAATCCAGCGCATTATTGCAATTTGGTCTTTGGTTCCTCTGCCCCTCCAAAATCCAGCTTGCACTTCTGGGTGTTTCTCGGTCTGTGTACTGCTTAAGGCTGCCTTGTAGAATTTTAAGCATAACCTTGCTAGTGTGTGAAATGATTGTGCAGTAGTTGGAGCATTCTTTGGCGCTGCCCTTCTTTGGGATTGCATTGTAGACTGATATTCTCCAATCCTCTGGCCACTGCTGAGTTTTCCAAACTTGCTGGCATATTGAGTGTAGCACCTTAACAGCATCATCTTTTAAGATTCCGTTGGAATGTCATCACTTCCACTGGCCTTGTTATTAGCAGTGGTTTCTAAGGCCCGTTTGACGTCACTCTCCAGGATGTCTGGCTCAAGGTCATCAGTCACACTACCTGGGGTGTATGGGACATCCATATCTTCCTGGCATAATTCCTCTGTGTATTCTTGCCACCTCTTCTTGATGTCTTCTGCTTCTGTAAGGTCCGTACCTGACGGAAACCAGCCGTCATCAAATGGTGCACAGCATAGAAAAAAGACACAGAGAGACAGCAGTATTTTCAGGATGGAGGGCAGCTCCTTCGACTTCTCTCCTCTCTGGTAATTTTATTATCCTTTTTCTCCCAGCCGGCATGGCCGTCTGCCAGTGTCTCACGTTACATCGCCCAATCATGGCTTTACAACACCCATCACCATATAAGATAATTACTGCCCAGAGGGAACACAACTCCATATAAGGTCAATACATTCAATACACTGCAAGGCACAGACATGCCGGTCAGCGAGGCACCACGCAACAATTACAAGCCTCTGCCATGGCTTCATGGCTCCCACACGTACCACTTTTGTCCTTTATAATGGTAATCTTTGCATAAAATCTTCCTTTAATATCTCCAATTTTCTTGAACAGATCTCTGGTATTTCCCATTCTATTGTTTCCCTCTATTTCTTTGCACTGCTCGTTTAAGAAGTCCCTCTTGTCTCTCCTTGCTATTCGTTGGAAGTCTGCATTCAATTTCATGTATCTTTAACTATCTCCCTTGCATTTTGCTTGCCTTCTGTCCCCCGCGGTTTGTAAGGCCTCATTGGACAACCACTTTGCTTTCTTGCATTTCCTTTTCATTGGGATGATTTTCATTGCTGCCTCCTGTATGATGTTCTGAGCCTCCAACCATAGTTCTTCAGGCACTCTGTCCACCAAATCTAAATCCTTAAATGTGTTCCTCTCTTCCACTGTGTATTCATAAGGGATTTGATTTAGATTGTATCTCACTGACCCAGTGGTTTTCCCTACTTTCTTCAGTTTAAGCTTGAATTTTGTTATAAGAAGCTGATGATCTGAGCCACAGTCAGCTCCAGGTCTAGTTTTGCTGACTGTATAGAACTTCTCCATCTTTGGCTGCAAAGAATATAATCAATTTGATTTTGATGCTGCCCATCTGGTGATGTGCATGTGTAGAGTCATCTCTTTTTTTTTTTTTTTTT